TTGGTGAATTTTGCTTGAAAGGCCGTCGATGATTGGCTGATGAACTTACGATCTCTTAACTTCTTTGAAAGTATTGGCCCAGGTGTAGGTAACAATACATGCAATCACTAGGTGAATAAGCTGCGGTCTTGTGGAGATAATCACCCAACTTTATGAGGTCTTTGTTCTTTTTCAAACTAATGACGATGCATATATACTAAATAAATTTGTAATGCAAAATATAGTAGCTATATACAGTATATTACGAGTTGCTGTGTCTAAAATTGTTGATCTTTATCGCTATTTCTCGATGGTCTAACTACGCTCGTTTGTAGTGGTATATTCGTGACAGATTTTGAGTTCGAATCCTGAACACCAATATTTATGTGCTTAGTCTGAGTAATTTCATGACAAAGAAAGAAATACTAATTCTATAAATTAGGTTTTGATCACTTAACTGCAAAAATTTCTTTGATGATTGTCCTGCCTCTTTTGAATGAAATCCGCGATTTTGTTCTACATGCTCTCTGGGGAAGAACTTGTATAGTATATTATAAATACAAACCTGGACGATTTTGTGACCCTTAATTTGAATGCTAAGAAGTTAAAGTGTTCTATTTGGTCCCTTCTTGTTCCTTGTTAGTTTTCAACTTCGCGACCACTTCGTCGCCTAATCATCCGATGCACTGACAAGGTCGTCTTGGTTTAATATCAGAATTAATGTGTATGTGGCTGTATATTTTTAAACTGTTGCGAGCGACATGAAGATCTGCGCAAATTGAATTTCTGATTGCTTGAATTAAACTGAATTTGTTTCAAAAGCATTTGTTATTTTTTATACATCATCTCATTGGGTGCTATTTTTTCAGTACTCATCATTTTTAAATAGTATAAAAGTACATTTTCCACGTTATCTGATAACGCTTACGAAAAAAATTTCCTAAAAATAGTGTGAATCTTCGTCCAGTTGCTACTTCCATTTAATCTCATGTCATGCATTATTCTTGATTTTACGCCATGTCAATACGCATATCCTTCAGTCCTTAACAAAAAGCTTATCATAAACCACTGGTCTACCAAATGCAAGCACGATCGATACATTTAAAAGCTTGGCTCGAATTTTTAAACAAATGTTGTGAGCTTTGTGAATGCAAACAAATGTGAACGAAAGAAAATATTGTTTTCTTTCGTTCACTGGAGAACCCCAGATTCGTGGTACGTGTCAAGTAATCGTGTAGTGCATTGCAAGCACCGACAAATGTTGTGAGCACTAATAGTTGTGAGTTCTTTGTAATAAAATGTTGTGAGTTCTTTTTCGGTCGCTGGAGAACCCAGATACGTGGTTCACTGGTACGTATCAAGTAATCGTGTAGTGCATTGCATGCACCGAGCAACTTGTGCTTCTTCCCTTTGCAAGGCCATCACGAGACCTTTCCTCATGTGTAGCTGCCAGCCTGCCAGTTGCAATGTGTCCTTTTTATTTTGTACGCGCGTATAACCTTCGATGAATATCCTAAGTCTTCTAAGTTTTTTGTTTCGCAATAATATGCTATTGAATGAGGCTAGAAACGGTGGTTCCTTATTGTTGCTCGTATGCTTCCACTGAACAAACAGAATAAATGTACTAGTTATTTGCATTTTATCAAGTCTGCGTTGTCTTGAAAATGCCGATTTTATTAATTTCGATTTTGATTCCTTAATTGGGATTTTCTGTGCCTTCTTTGTTGCTTCAGACTATTTGTGAATTTGCTGCTCCTATGTTCTGCTATCAATTGAAAGGAAAAATATAAGTCCATGTTAATCCCAATTCTATTTTGAATCGCAAGTGCAACAGACATTTAAATGAAAACGCCCTGCAAGTTCGCCATACCTTAAATTAAAACGTTAATTTTGCGATATAATTTAAAGTTTTCACGTCTTGAGAATGATTTTATTCGCTGATTATATCATGCAGATGAAGATTGCACCAGGCCATGGGCCTATGTCTTCAACGCCGACACTTCTATTCTATTCTGTCCATGCATGTGCTGAACGTGTGCTTCTTCTCGGCTAACGCGGTCTCCAGGCTTCTCGCCATTTCTGATTTTTTTACGGTACCAATCATCCTTCAGGAATGTCGCTGAAATTAGTACAGCAGTGAATGCAAGGGCCTCCTGTTTTTACTGACATGGCAAGCATGAAATGTTCGCGGGTGCAAGTGCAGATTCCTTTCTCATGGCGCAAACAGTGAGTAGTGTGACTCAGGTCGGCTGGAATCCGACCAATCCAGTCGGTGCGAGAACAGTCATGCATGGTGGGTCAAACTATTGCTATATGCAGCTCTCGCTCCTGTATGTTACTGTTTAATACTGGTGTCAATAGGTAACTAGATTTATTTGGTGCTGAAACTTATGTACAGGAACCTATGTTCAATCACTATAGTACCAACAAATTTAATGAACTTTACCTGGTATAGTTTTTCCTATAATTGAAAAAAGTTTAGTACAAAGTTTCATTTAAAGTTAACGCTTGGCATGCTTTTAACTGTACCACCATGTAACACTAATATCTCTGTTAAATAATTGTCCTATCTCTAGTCTAACTCTTAATTTATTCGCTTCCGGATAAGATTTTTATTTTAGAACTCTCACTGCTTATCCGGTCTTCAGCCTACGTGATATTATAAGCATTGTAGGCAGTGCAGATAAATAATTTTTAAAGGTAGAAAAGCTACTTTGGTGCACGAAATAAAGCTATAGACCACATCTCCTTGGCTCAACATTTCGTTAGAAGATGACGAGTGGATGATAAGGCGAGTGCATTGCCGGTTATCTCACGAGTATCGCGAGGATAAGTACTCTGCAGTACACTGCGAGTCGTAAACCACGACTGTTTCTGCACCAGTGCATTAACTCGTACTATTTCTGTAGCTTCTTGGTTTTGCTTATATCATGCAACTCTTAGTTTCAAGTCAGAAATCTTGTCAAAGAATTACGTATTTGGTTTTCAGCGGCTGTGAAGATGACTCATATGTTTAGCCTCAGAAGATGACTCATATAGGTATTTTACGTCAAAAAATCACTCATTTCCATCGATATAAGCGAAAATTTAAAGGGTGGTTAAGACCTGTCAGTGTCTTGTCATCCTGTCCGAATTTTTAATTTGACCCAAAAGTCCTTTCGCACAGGACGTATGTTCTCCCATCAATCATTGGTAGTGCCTCTTTCAAATTAGATGCGGAACTGATAGTTACGAATTGGGTGTATCTGCATCAGCTAATCGTTTACTTTACGTCGTGCCTTCATTCAATGTTAATATTGGTTTATTTTTCTTTGTTGACCACTTTTGTTATAATGTTTTTTTTAACTATGCCCAGCATTCATGTGACCATAATTCTTTATACGAGCGCAGTTTGGACTCTACACTCAACATGAGCTTTTTTAAGATCTATTTAGAGAACAATACATTAGCTAACAAAATGAGGCATATTTAGAAATTCAAATGCATCAACAAATCAGATTGTTGCACATTTTCCTGACTTGGAATCAGGCTCTTTGGTTGTTGGTACCTGCCTTTATTTTATAAATCACTAAAATTTTTAGAATAAAAACCTACGTGTGTGAGAAATTTAAAAAGAGTCCTTAAATAAGTTTCGGCATGATTGTGACTGAGTTGCAGTTCCTTATCGAAAATTTCGGCTTTTCGAGTGTACCTTTCGATGTTAGTACGTTGCAGTTCCTTATTGAAAATTTCGGCTTTTCGAGTGTACCTTTCGATGTTAGTGTGCTGCAGTTCCTTATTCGTTACGGTAGTTCTCCGTGACACCAAGCTTGCACTGTCGGGTTCAGTGCATCTCATTAGGATTCCGTTCCGCTGATACGTGTAACTTAGATACGGGCTGTTCTCTGCCATCACACCTGAGCACAGTCACGTTCCATTCAGAGCTCGGTATTACCATTATTTGTTAGAAAATTATTACACGTTGCGCAACGCCGAACAAACGAATATTTAATTGTTAATTCTCATCATAACTGAATGATGAAATTTTTCCGAAGACAGCTCATGTTGAATTGACATACTTTGTATGTGCTTCCGAGATACGACGCTTGAAATACACTAAAGACTCATTAGTTTATTTCAAGTAGTTTATTATTTTTTTCGATGCGGTTGACTTCGTAACTTTTTTGGCACCATGTTACTATTTTTATCTGTTCCAAATTATAATATCTTAAAATTCAGTCAAATGAAAAATTGTAGCCTGGCAAGAACAAATTATTTCGACTGAGCCTGTGGAGTTGCTATACAGTGAGCGTGAGTGACCACATGACTCATCACATTCACGGCTTTGTGAGTCACTGCGTATGTTCGATATTCCTGGCATCATGATGCGTTCTGGTTTTATTACGAAACATTACAGCTTAATTAATTCTTCATACTTGCCCACAATATTTCATATAATCCTTAGTAAAATGATCACAGTTTTGAGTACTGTTGACGATCAAAAACCATGATATCGCATATTTTGACGATATTTCATGTTGACACTACTTTGTAACTCGTTGGCATGTCATCCATTTCAACTTATCTAAAGTATATGATGCGCAAATGAAGTTTATGTCAGCAATCACAATTTATTTCTTGTACAAATACATTGTCAACTCGAATCGAATGTTGACTAGTTCGTGCAACAAAGTTTTTTGCCTGTTGTACGTATATCAATCAAATTCACGAATTTAGTTTTTTTTTAATTTTATGACTCGAAATATTTTTTAACAACATGTGAAGGACTGAAGGTATCATAATTCATATAAAAATTATTCTCTCATTTATGTATTCGAATAAATAACAGTTCGGCATTGAATAGAATTAACTTATTTCATCTTAATACAGTCATTATCAAAGGATTAACACATACGGTATCACAGCCAATGACCCAAACGAGAATTTAGTTATGAATTTTTTAATGCTAAAACTCAGTGATCTCAATCCAAGAAAGATATGACACGTACTTTATTCTAATAAGCATAATGTTTTGATTGCAGGTGGATGCTGGACAGACACTACTGGTTTTCTTCCGTTGATAGAACTTACAGCTCCATCACTGCCTTGCCTCAACCACCTGCTTGCACCACCACCTTCATCACTGCCTTGCCTCAACCACCTGCTTGCACCACCACCTTCATCACTGCCTTGCCTCAACCACATGCTCTGAGTCAGTTGCTTGCACCACTACAACCACTACCAGCATCACTACCACCACCACCTTCATCACAGCCTTGCCCCAACCACCTGCTCTACGTCAGCTGCCTGCACCACTACCACCACCACCACCTTCATCACTCCGCCAGCACAGCAAAGCAGCCTCAACCTCGTGACGTCACTACAAGCCAATTGTTATCAGCAACGTCATTCAGGACACGGTGAGGCTGGGGCATTTGACGTGACGTTATTCGTCTTGTGTGATGACGTAGACATATCAAATATCAATTAACTCAAATATAATGCGTATTTGGCATTGCTCTTTGATGCTGGAGTTTGGAAAAGTGCACAAACATGGAGTTCGTACTAACCATGAACATGTAAAATTGTTTATTCAGGTTTCCGTCAGTCAATTTCACCTTATTTTGATCTTCTTTTTTTACGTCACCGTTACGATAATGTGTATCTAATATAAACTATAATTAATGCAGCATCGACTTGAGCTGTGCTCTCGCATCACTTTTCCAGTCTATTTATATGAACTTCTCCTCGCTACTGAAAGACATTGTTGTCGGTAGTCGATGCTCGATAGTTTGTTTTTCGTGAACTGTTAAAAATGCAGAAAATAGTTAATTGAAAGTCTCAGGATATATTTTTTATTTTATTTAAGAATAACTTTTATTCGTTTTATTTAAGAATAAAACGAATTCTCTGGTCTTCAATGAAACATGCTTAAAGGAACAAATTTAGCCAACCTATACTAATAGGATATCTTTTTCTGCATGATGAAAGCGGCGGTAGTTCGGCTGTTGTGTAGTAGCTCTGCATGACGATGACTGCGCTGGGCAGTGGGCACCTTTTACGGGCCTACAGGTACAGTATAGGCCGACTAGGCTCGTCGTCTACCGATGTCAGGGACGGTTGGTCGTCTTATCTGTGATGCGCGTGAGAGGCATTGTTATATCGGCTTGACGTAAGAGCAATGGATGTCCTGTGCGTTGTCAACGTCTTGGCTGTCTGCCATTGTTGCTTCATCGCCATCCCAAGCGTTTAGCATCTGCCTCTAAGTAAAGGTGTTTTTTCTTGCCTGTGTCTATTCATTATTCATTCATGATACTTCACATGATACTTCATTGCCTGATCAAGTTTCATGTGGGCGGGATTCTCCTCTTGCTGGTTTCGTGATATGTTCATGTAAACTGTAGCTGAATTCGAACCTTGCCTCTCCCATTATGAAGCATATACCGGGTACCTCTTGCAACCAATCCTCTCTTGACAAACAAAATAAAGTTCTTTTCAGCTGACTCTAACTTGCTAAAGAATATACCAATGTGCGTGTCTTCATTCTCATTATAGATACGTTTTGCCTTGCGCGTGTTAGCGATTGTGGAGTCTTGGCTTGTATGTCAAACAGCTTCGCTTCGTTGTTGCGCTCTATCGCGAAGCAATCTGCGTAAAATTTAACGAGTTCACCTTTGATAGGGGGTGCGTGGAAATCAAGACTCGTATTGTTGGTAGTAATTTCTATCATTACCAATTAACACTTGTAATATTAACTCACAAGGTTTTTCTGTTTACATTTCTTGGCTGATTTTTTTAATTGACGGGTCGTAGATATGTTATCTGAAAAGGATGCGCGGCACGTTTGGTTTAATGACGCATGAAACCAGTGAACCCCGGAATTTTATGAAATTCTCTTTTAAACATTTTTTTAGATAATTCCATTATCAAACTCTAATTTGCATTGATGTAGTCAAAATATGTCATTCTTTCAAGCTACAATCAAAGTCTTTAATCCCGGAAGAACTCACTTAGTCTGTATGAATGGTTTCTGAGTGTTTCTCTTTTCTTCGGAGCTTTTGGTATAATTCTAATATTTTGTGCAGGTATGGTAGAACGTGAACGATTGATGCGGTGACGCAACGATCTACGCATCAGAAATTTTCGTCTGCCATCGTAGAAACAAGCATCTTGATGTTGATCTACACAATCCCAACGTGGGATCAAAACAACGACCAAATTTTGTTGAGCCATGAGCTCACTGCCCTGCCTGCCTCTATTTAATCACGCATCACCGATGTTGAAATGAAGCCTTCAAGAACTTGTTGAGATTTTCCTTCTCAAGTTTTTCGTTAATATTTTATTGATTTTTATTTAATTTAGTTCAAGTTGTCCACATAAATTTCTGTTCAGGAAAGGAATCTTTGTTACTGAGAAATTACTCCAGTTGAAATAATTAAAGAAAGATTGTGGCGACAGATGGGGTTGATTGTCCCATGGGCTTAATCCGGGCTGAGTTATCAATGAGCCAGCCTGCCAATGTCATTTACACTCACAAGAAGTTCAAGAGAACTTCTTCTCAGAGCTGGAAAGATGCCCCCGCTGAGCCGCTACCGTGCTCTGAAGCGGAGACGGTTCAATGGGCCGCTGCCAGCCGTGGCCCAGAAGCTCCTGAGGACTCTTGGTCACAAGACAGAGACGGGGCGGAGAGCTTACTCATCGCAGCGTCTTTGGTGGAACAACGAGAGGCGGGCGAGCGTTTACAGAGACTCGCTTCAAATGCGCATCGAGTAAACGGCACTGGTGACCCTAAAATTTTACTTCCCTCCAATGCTTCTGTCAGGATTTGGTCGTGCAGATACTGCAACTTCGGTGCCACCTGTGAAGATGAACTCAAAGTACATGAGGCTGTTCACGCTAGGCTCTGCTCTAACTGTAGAGCCCCAGAAATGGCCTGCATCTGCGAACATCTTGATGCTCGGCAGTGCAGGTCGACGATATCTGAAACTTCAATTTCTCTAGTCCCGAATCCAAGTTACTCCAAACTCAAGATAGATAAGCATAATCTTCCTGCGGATCTGTCAGTCACGAGTTCAATATCAAGCAATAACAATATTTATCCAAACGACGAAAATTATATTAGAAATCATTACTCGTTAATCAAAGCTCCCGAAGGGGCTTATAGTAAATCTATTTATAAGCCTAAATTTCGGGCTAGCTACTCATTGGACGAGTCTACGACAGGGGGAACTACACTGACTGGTGCAACGGTCAATGATGACGTGTTCGATGTCCCTGAAGCGAAGTATAATGTACATTTGGACAATCACCTGTTATCTACCTTGGGTGACCTGAAGGGGACAGGGACTGTACCGAGACAAGCTGGATCCCAGTTTCCTTTAAAAGGTGATGAACCTGGCACAGCTCTTAGGCTCGGCTCCATTGTTGGGTCGGCATTGTTCAAGGGAATTAAATCACCGAGTCCTGATCTTGGTGAACATATCGATAAGCTTATTGATCAAAATAAGTTGATTATGGACTCTGACAATCCTCTACGCAATCGTAAATACCGAAGACAGACAAGCATAGGATCGTCATCCAGCGAAAATGAAAATTCTTGTGGCTCACGCAGCAGACGATCGAGCGCTAACGATCCTAGTAAATGTAAGACGGCCACATCTACGGTGCCCAACAGAGTGAAAGTTCCGGCCGTAGCGGATATTCAGGCATGTCAAACATCAGTTTCTGTGCCCGTTGAGTCTCACAGTTCCGTGTCTTTCAAAAGAAGCCTATCGGTCATAAGTTCGGCTGCTGGTCCCTCGTTGTCAAGTATAAAATCAAGTTGCGCTGCTGCTCCAACCACTCACATCCCCACATATCAAGCTACTCCTGCCAATCTGAGACGCTTCGTCTCGGTAGATAACAAGTCTCCAGCAATGAATTCTGCAGAGCTTCTGATACCTGGTGCGAGTTGCGACCGTGGAATATACCTTCAGCAAATGCCCCCCAATCCTGATCCGGATGTCCACAAACTGCTCTTAAGGAGAGGGAATATGCCTTTTTTACCAGATACTTCTGTAATTCCCGTTACAAACCCGTCAATGATGGTAATGGTTTGTCCAAATTGTTCGACCAGTTTTAGAACTCGAGAAAGCTTAGAGGTTCATCTTGAGAGGCATTGTAGTGGTAAGACTGAAAATTTATCCACGTTTAAAAACGTAGCCGCTGCTGTCGATAATTCTGCTGGCGGTGCTCATTTAGTTCAGAGAACTGGAGCTGGTCACGAAACTGCTCATGAACAGCAAAAGCGACTCATCATCAGAGATTTTTCCCCCATGCATATGCGTAGTTCCTCCGTCGAAAATGAACCTAGACTGAAGAATCATAGAGAAGAAAGTTCTCAGAGTCGTGGCTCATCACTAGGAGCAGACGTTCGTCTGAACACCGAACACATGAAGCAGCCATTTCAAAGTATGCCTCAATACTCAAGGCAACAGTCTGTGGACGTTCCTCAGCCGCCGACCAAAAAGCAGAAAATTTCATCAGAACCTCAGCCAGGAGATTTCTCCATCACATCTGTGCATCCTGTTCTTGTCCGCAACGGCGTGGTGTTGCAACGAGCTAGGGTATCAGTAAAAGAAGTTGAAGAAAACAATCTCCCGAAAAAACTCCAGTTGTGTGGAGGCGAAGTAAAAATCTGTGATGGGTCCAAGTACAAAACCATGCGCATTGACACCAGCGAATGCAGTAGAAGTCATGCCTTGGGGATGAGCTCGCCAATTTGCGAGGTTAAAACTGAATCTGATGAACCTCAGATCCCAGAAAGCCACGTTGTGACCCTGTCAACATCTGGCCTGAACTGCGGCGGTACAATGGTAGAAAGCCGCGTTAATTACCTCGCCACAAGCTGTTCTCTATCTTCACCATCAAGGAGTGGTTATTCCTCTGATTCTAGTAATGAAATGCATCGTGGTACCAAAAAGCTCTTGTGCAAAGATATCGATTTACCCAGTATATCGTTGTCTAATCTTCAACAATATGCACCGCAACTAACGCTCCCCAATCTATCTATTCCCGGAGTTCCTATTCCGAACATGTCAGGAGTTCTGCTGTCGAAAATGTCTACTGGTCAGCCATCAGCAATGAAACATCTGCGCACATCATCCTTTTCTGAGTGTTTCAAAACGAGTTCCAGTTATGGCTCACTTCTACTCAACTCTCAGGAGAAACCTCTGACTAAATTACCCATAAATTCACCATTAGTTTCGTTGAGTAAAGATAAAATTCCTTTTGTTCCCGGAATCCCAGGTCCATATAGTCAAGCATCTTTAAATCTAAGTACTTCCATTACATCACAGAAACCTGCCACCATTGTCAGCACAATTCCAATTTTAGCGTCTAAATCTGAAATGTCAAATGAAGTAAAAGTACGCCCTGAGAGCCCGAAGGTCTTTACTGCCTGTAATACTTTGGTAACCAAGAATACGCCTCCCACCTCAACTAAGACGAACTTTTCCTACGCAACTCCTGACGTCCGAACATCGTCTGAAGTTCCATTGCAGTCCGATAAAGTTGTTCCTGCTTTGCTTGACCAGAAAGATATTTTCATCGCTCCTCGCAAGCGACCCGACACGCTACCACTGAAGCCTCAGCAATTTGTGAACAAGTCAACAGCTCAGCTCATAGGCAGCATCATCACGAGCCCTGACACCCCGCGACCTAAGAAGTCATGCGCCCAGCTCCTACTCGATGGCTCTGCCTACACCTACTTACGCCTCAAAGTTTCCACCAAAACTTATTACTGTTGTATTTTTCGGCCACAGCCAATGTACGTTCCCCAGTCACCTGAATCTAAAATTTCTATGTACTCCAACTGGCAAATCAGAAAACCTGCAGAAGATAATCCTTTTAATCTTAGTATCTCAGAATCCATGGGACTGTATTCATCCTGCCAGTGCACGAATCCTGCTTACTCAGTCGCTAAGCCCGCATTGTCTCTAATTTATACATACAGCGACAGGAAAATGATTGATGCTATCAAATTTGTCCAGAAGGAAAAACAGTCTTTGTCGGCTGTAACTTTGGCAAAAAATTTAGTTCCTTCCCTTGGTGAGAACAAGATGCGCTACGGAGAGTCTCCGATCAACTCCGTTAAGCTGTCTGATAGTGCAGGGGACGTCCAGATAAGCCAAAGTGTTGCTGAAGAAACTAAAATTTCTAGCAGCGTTTCAGTTTTTTCACGAGAACCCTCTGAAGACAGCCGCCTGAGCAGCTCATCAAGCCGTATAAGGATTTGCGATGGAGGTTTCAAAAGCACAGAAGAATATACGTACGTGAGAGGTAGAGGCAGAGGTCGGTACGTGTGCGAGACGTGTGGCATAAGATGCAAGAAGCCCTCCATGTTGAAGAAGCATATCCGCACCCACACCAACTTCAGGCCTTATCCCTGCACCCTTTGCACCTCAAGGTGAGCTATTGCTAGTGTTTTCTCATAAATGTCCTTCGGCAACAATCTTCATTGGAATTTAGTAATACGGTATAGTACTCATAGTCGCCATTTTACATGTCAATCGCGGAGGCAGCGGTGAAACTAAATTATCATCACAAGTGTTAATCTTTACTCCATCAACTAATCGGATATTAATTATTGTACTAAATGTGTAGGGAAGAGATTTCTATTTCGTTTCAATACGGAATTCATAGCCGGAATTGCCAATGACATTTTTAATACATTTTTTTCGCGTACCGACATGAACTACTAGACCACTTCATCTATAAAGTTATATTAACAGCATTTATGGGCGACTTCTTAGTGCTAATTACCGCTGAAACTTCTCTTATTGCTGACCCATATTCGCCAGATTCAAGACAAAAGGCAACCTTACAAAGCATCTGAAGAGCAAGGCCCACTTCCAGCGATGCATTCAGCTCGGCGTGCCCCATGAACCGCCAAGTGTGAGTTCTCTCTTCACTAAACGCATTATATCTATCCTCTCACAATGTTGCAGTGAGATTATGTGTGTCATGATTTAGGATAAAATTCCTAGTTGGTAAATATTAGATAAACTATTTCTCTGCAATTCTTCCAATAACTACGCTAAATTATACATGGTGATTTCATTACGAAATTTTTTTTTGGGTAATGAACACCTAAATTTATCTGGTGTGTTTTTCCAGAGCTCTGGTGATGACGCTTCGACCGAGATGGACTATGACGATAACGATGAGGATGACGACGATGATGATGGTGAAGAAGACGACGATGAAGAGGATGACGAGTGTGACGAAGACATGCGGGAGAGCCGAGAGAACAGTTCTATGCGTGATAACAGCCGGGAAAACAGTTATGTCCGTGAAAGTAGTTGCGATAACAGCTACGTGAACGAGAGTAGAGAGGGCAGCTCCATGCGCGACAGCCGGGAAAACAGCTATCTCGGGGAAAGTCGCGAGAACAGCTATGCTAGAGAGATCCGTGAGAATAGTTGTATTAGAGAGATCCGTGAGAACAGCTGTGTACGAGAGAGTCGAGAGAACAGCTGTATTAGAGAGAATTGCGAGAACAGTTACATTAGAGAGAGCCGTGGCTGTGTACCGGAAAGCCGAGAGAACAGTTGTATTCCTGAATTTGCTTTTGTTGAAGAAAATATTGTTCTCGGTAGTGGTAACGGTTTCGAGAAAAACAAGGAAGACTTTTGTTTTTCTACTGGTCATTTACTATCATCTGCTGCCATGTCTTCTCACGAAGAAATCAAAGCGGACGAAGAAGTTTGCATCGACCTCCGCGTCTCCAAAGTGGCCTGTAGAAGCGCAGGGTCTCCTGCCTCAGCCCCAGACGACGCACCCATGGACCTCAGTATTAAGAAATCTTCTAACTCAACCCAACCGGGAGCAATCTTGCCGTCTTCCTTGCTACCTCACGTTGTTAGTAGCGCTAAGATTACCATAGCTTCAGTCACTTCATCTCGACCGAGTTTTTTACAACTTGTCCCTCCGAAAAGCAGCACAAGTCTTGTGTCTCCCCTCACGCCAATCCGTGAACAACCCGCTGATATCTTATCGCCGGTCACCGATTCGTCTATGTTGCTCAAGAGTATATACAGTACGACAGAGCGCGCGTCACGAGTATCTGTCCTGAGCAGCCAGGCTGGCTACCCACACTCCATAGCCGCCAGTCAGGCCAGCGGGGTAATGATGAAAGCCTACCTCACGCAACGTGCTATCCAGGACACATTCATCAAGCGCCATCAATACCAGGGTCAGACATCGTATTCAGATGCTAGTAATGAACCTTCAGATATAGAAAATTCTACCCACGAGTCAAAAACAGGCCTCGAAACGGGCTCGGTTATATCTGCCGCTGTGAATGAAGGTGCATCCTCTAGCCCAGTCGTCAATATATCTCGGTCTAATTCGTCTTCTACTGTAGCGTCGTGTACTTTGAAACCAAAAAGTTACTATCAAGGGAAATGGCAGGGTACAACACTGCAGGCATCACCTTCGATCTCGCTGGCCACGTCATGCGTATCTCAAGTTTTAGACAAACCCATCGCTGGTAAAGAAGCCTCAATTGATGAATTTTCCCCCTTGTCTGTTGCTTCCTTAGTGTCTGCATCTACACAAGGATGTGAAGCTCTTATTGACGACGCGACCTTCAAAGGAAAATTGAGGGCAGCTTTCGATTTGGTCGAGGCCAATGATAGAGGAGTTACTGCTTTAGAATATTCCTTCCAGCGCTTTGCGGTATCTGAGGCTACTGGCAAGTTACCAAGAAGTCCGCCAATTGTTGTCAAATCAACTGCTGATGCTTCAGTGAGTCTATCGTGTGCTGTTCCTAAGAAAAATCATATTATGGCTGCTGCAAGAATGGTTGTCACATCGACGTCTAACTTGACTGCCCCAGAAGTGCCAACAACAACCGCTGACCGATCCCCAGCCGTTCCTGAGGGTTCTCTTACACCCGGTAAGAAACCAAACTACAATAACCGATCAGGAGAGATTGGCCTTTCTGACCATGCAAAACCGATCGCAGCCATTGCACCAGCCCCTTTGGCGTCAAATCTGACTAAACCATCCCTAGTCTCTCAAGATATCCCTTCTTCAAATTCAACGTCTAAGATTCAAATCCCAGCATCGAGTTGGTCAAATGCTTCGAGTGTTCAATTAGGCTTGCCTACCCTTAACGACCCTAACGATACAGAGAAGCAGGCCACGAATTTCGACGCCATCACACAACCTGATTCCTCTGCTCTAACTCAGACCGAAGAAAAGCCGGAAACAATCATTTCCAATTCGTCGTCGATAGTGGCTATTGATGCTTCTAACAATTCTCGGAATGCTTCAGCCGTCGCTGTTGAACCGCCAGTAATCACATCATCTCCTAACTCCGAGAAACCCTGGGCTGTGACCATATCAGCGCCTTTGCCACCTAATTCGAGATTAACGCGCTGTTTGACTTTTCCTGAATCCTCGTCGCCATCAAGCGTTTCAAGTTCACTGTCTGTGACGCTCTCAGTACCCAGCTCTGTTGCCGTGCCTGTCTCTCGGTCTGTTAATTCCCATCCGTCGCGCACTACGACCGTGACAACGCCTTTGTCCGCCAGCTCTGGAACTCTGCGGACGGTCACTGTAGCCGGGCCGTCATCTGCCATGAACTTGACTGTACTCAATAGCAGTAACTCCAAGACTGGCACATCGTTCCTTTCGCCGAGTGGGGTGGTTCCTAACCATGCAAATAAGTAAGTTGTTAATTATATATTTATTTTGCACTTGCAGTAGCCGATATTAATTTTTGTTTATTTTTAACTATCCAATGTTTATCCGCGCTGAAAAGCAGCGTCGTCACTCGGGTGGCCCAGTGGTTGCAGTTCAGAGTACCAAGATTGAAGCAGAGAGGTGCGGGTTCGATCCCAGCTCTGTGCGCCAGTTTCTGGTCAGAATCGGCGAGGAGGCCGAGCGGTTAAGCAAAATAGAATTGTAGCAGTGAGTTGCGAGTTAGAGACCGCAACAAGCTGTGAATGTTCTGCGATGTTAAGGATCGGCGACAGCCCTACGGCCTTATAAACGCTGAAACCGCTATTATAATGTTCTTGTTCCTTACAACATGCTAGTAATACCCTGCAATCTGTGTTTGAATCCTATTAACGAATTTTATGATGCTTTAATTTTACCAATTGTAGAATTTAGTGGTGCTTCTTCACTACCAATTTTTTGTTCATTTTGTTTAATTTTTTACGACGCAACATTGTGCTCATTTACGTATTTTTTTGGTGCAGTCGCTCGGCCCCGGAAGACGGTCGATGCCGCTGCTACATTTGCCACAAGGAGTTCGCTCGGTCGTCGCAGCTGGCGCTGCACTTGAACATTCATTACATGGAGCGGCGATTCCGCTGCGAGTCTTGCGCCGTCTCTTTCCGGACCAGCGGACACCTTCAGAAACACGAGCGATCAGCGAGTCACTTCAATAAGGCGAGTGAAAAATGTCATACAACACTACATCATTGTGTCTGCTTAGATTAAGTTTGTTTGTTCTTAATGTTCGGCTGTCGCTGCACAAGCTTCAGTAGAAGTCACGCAAATGTTAACATTCTGATGAAAAAATAAATTTTTAATGCGTTATGCTTCACCGTGGATAAGCGACTGGTTTGTTTTCCTGTGCAGGTGAATATGAACCTGACATTTGGGGCCGCGAGCACCGAGAACCCTCGTCCATTCAAGTGTCACGATTGTAAAATTGCCTTTCGTATTCACGGCCACCTTGCGAAACACTTGCGTTCCAAGATGCACATTCTCAAGCTGGAGTGTCTCAGTAAGCTTCCCTTTGGCTTGTACGCTGAGATGGAGAGAACTGGCCTCACGCTTGCTAACATCGACACGACGGACTGCGAACACTCGCTTCTTAGCTTGCAGGTCAGAAAAATTCTGCTACGAATCAGGTTCAAATGACTTTTAATCATTGCTGGATATGCATTTCGTCATGCCTGACTTTGAAAGTAATGCCCGATTTTAAAACCGCCACTGGAAACAGCTGTGAATCTTTCAACTACCTTTTCAAACTGTAAATTTAGTTGATGCCGTGTTTCATTAAAACAATACGTGTAACTTAAGAATATCTTCCCAGTCTCTGGCGGGTAAGCTGTTTGCAAAAGAGCCGGAAAAATTACTGGCGTGGCGAAACGGTACAGCCGACACGGAGGGCTTGGGTGAAACTTCTCGACCACGCACCGTGTCGGGGTCATCGGTGAACTCGGACGAATATCTTCTTGCAGATGACCAGGACGAGCCTTCGCCGCTGCCAGACTCTGGTACTCTTCCACTCACCGCTGTCACATTGCCGATATGCTGTCTATATTTTGACATGAAAACGTTTATATGTTTTTGTTTTGTATTATGTTTTGTACTGTACTGCCAGTAACTCACCGCTGTTTCATTGCCGCAATGCTGCCTATATTTTGACCTGAAAGAGCATGTATGTTATTGTACTGTATTATATTGTGTACTACTGTACTGCAAGAAACTCACCGCATCTTATTGCCGCAATTCTAACTATATTTTGACATGAAAGCGTATATATGTTTTTTTAATGTATTACCTATATTGTGTACTACTGTACCTACTTCAAATAACTCACCGCTGTCTCATTGCCGCAATGCTGCCTATATTTTGACATGAAAGCGTATGTATGTGTTTGTACTGTATTATGTCGTGTACCGCACTGCAAGTTCATGTATAACGGGATGAGTGAACTTTGCTCTCAATTCCTTATGAACCGCAGAACACATTGCATCGATTGGATTTTCTGGAGTTTAACTGAACATAACTGCTTTAATGTACTGCCCAGAGGCCGTATTATTAAGTTCGCATATTCGTCAACCATAAACAGACAGCTTTCCGAGCCGATTTCTCCACTCATAGACAAGAAATTTACCGCTACGTGCACTTAGGAAGTTGTGATGTTCTTGCGTCAGGACCGTTGACTTCTATAGTGAAAAAATCTTAATCATATTCGATTCTACGTATTGCATTTTTCTTCAAGATTACGTGTACTTCAAAAGTGTAATTTTTATCAATACTCCGAATTTTCAAAATTTCTTGCATCTCTTCCGACCATTATTTTGGTGCAAATGTGTGAAAATTCATGTAAAACTTCTTCGTCTTTACTAAGCTAAGAAGAATTAAATTTGAACTCCGAAAGTCTCTGCATGTTATCAGTGTCATCAATTCATTTGATGCTCGTTTGTAGCTGTTGTCTAATTGAACCTATTTTTTTCTCCTAGGTGACGAGAACGAGAGTACTCCAGTCACTCCTGCCAACTCATCGTCAGGCAACGTTTCCTCGCTTCAAGCAGCAGTGGAAAAAACAATTCCTGACGTTGCCATTGAACCACAAGCATCCTTATCAACGTCTCCCACACCATCTTCGCTATCACCAGAATTGCCTTCATCATCGGTATCTCATGTTGCGGTAACAACTTCGTTATCGCCTCCGCCTGGAGTTCCGTCGACGCCGTCGACTCCCAAATTAGGTGGTAGCTCGTCGCAGTCTCCTTCATGCGCATGATCTATCGTGTCCTGTGCAAGCGTAACCTTCTCTCAATTTTCTCAAAAATCTTCTGATGTGACTTGCAATTAAGACAAAATTTCTCACCTATATATATTTTTCCTTGTGTATTTTCAGTTTTTGGCAAGACCTCCTCTAACTGCTGAAGCATCTACTGATTTGTAGATTAATTTCAAAACTCCAAATGCCAGAAATGCAAATCCTTTCTATTTTTCTTTCTTATTTGTTTTCTTTTGAGATACCCAATTTGTACATATAGATTTTTGATATTAGCCGGAGTGATTTTTTAAACAAACTTCCTCTAGGGTCAAATGTTCGCATAATTTATACACACTGTGCTACCTGTACAAAGAATTTTGTTACTGTCTTCGATAACTGTACATTTTTAAGATCTTTCAGCGTCTTAGCTTGTCTGATCAAGAGTGGTGCTGTTTATTTCATTTAATCTCAAATTACTTTCTGAATCCAATCAAATTCCTTGTACTATATGCTGTTGGTTGCATTCTTCCGTGTATCGTCTTTCAGACGTGCTCCCACATACTACGTAAACATGGCATTTCTTTTTTGTTACTAAGAGCAAGAAGCCACAGAACTTCAACGTCGGGAACCGTTCATCACCTACTGAGCTGTCATCGTGCAGACATTGTTTTTGTATAAATTAACTAAGCCACGGGCATTTAGATGTCGCTCGTATTTAGGAATATTGAGCTAAGAGTCTAAGAATATAAGGTTCTAAATTTGCCCTGCAAACTTCATGCGGCAAAACTCGGCTGCTTTCATGTGTGTCCCAAGTGCTCTTCAGGCAACAACGTCAAGCATATCCATTTTGTACGTATTTCTAGAACAATCCAAATTTAAATTGGTCGGCCCATCACAGAGTCTACACGTCGTAGTGGCATAGCTAGGATTTCCCGGCATGTATATTTTGATACTGAGCTTTGGAGCTGTTTTTATGTATTTTAATGTCGAAAATAAGCAGCTACTTAGCGCAATTTGTATAAATGATGGAGTGTTAGCAATGAAGCCTGTATTTTTAGCGTGCAATAATTAAACATATTCTTACAGATGCTCAAATTGGATTAGCTCTTTTTCGTTTTTTATTCACAAGTATTATTTTTCTTATCTGCCTCAAAGCGTTCTAATTGATGCATTAAATGCCTTAATTTGTCAGAAGAATTATGAGCGCTCGTTACTCTTACTACTGTATTTAAAACGTCTTATATTCACCGCTACAATAGCGTTTGCTTCAATTTCTAGTAAACAACAGAAAAGAAATAAGTATGAGTGTAATATCATTTTTCTTGATTACTTAGTCGAGATCTAGACTTTATTTAAGGTGCATGGAAAGTTTCAATCTCGAAGTACAAATCGAATTCAAGGTTTTCAGATGGTCCGTATGTACGTACTCCAACACTCTGTACAAATAAACATGAGACGTATTCAAAAATATACGATTGTTCATCTTAAAGTCCAACGTAACTATTTTATGAATTTTCTACTATCGTATTTCCACTCATGACTTAAACGCCTCGTGTTAAACTGAGCAAATTTTTACCTTAATTTATTACAACAATTGACTTTGAAGAGCGTGTGCAATCAATCATTCATTCTGCCTTTTATTTTGTTATTGTAATTTAAATTCACGTATCTTATTAGATATCTCGGCAAATTTCTGACGCGTGATAACGTCCCCAAATGAGCAATAGAGTTAATTGTTTTCGCGAGCATCGAACAGAAGCTACTTGAGTTGTAATTTGGTGCCATTAATTTTTCTTGTATAGTCCCTCTGTGCAAATGATGAGCTGAATCACGTTGAGGAAGTAAACTTGTAGTTTTCCTAGCCAACTTATTTGATAACTTATTTGAAAAAAATATATATTTTATAAAGAACTTCACTTTTGCATAGACAATCAATGTGCTGCTATCTATATCTTGGAATTTTTCCTGTTCAGCACCTCCAATACTCAAAAGAAGAGGCAGGTACAATTTGTTTCAGTTAATTGTGCTCTATTTAAGACTTAAATTCATGACATTGTGTAAAAATGTTGTTTGCTTTGTTGTTCTGTTATTAAAAAATTGCAGAAATGTTAGAATATCTCTTCCCTTCCAATTCTTCATATTTTCGGTTTAACCGACATAGCAATTATGATAAATTTATAGTGATAAGCAGAGAGCTTGCACGATTTGTAGAAGTCATTATCACTTTCGAACAATAATTTTTCAGCAGGAAACTATGACATTGAATGCATATGAAATTAAAATTATACCGATCACGGTACATCACTTAAATGATTCAATTATTCACTGATGGTAATAATAATGTTAAATATTTGTTAATAGTGATAGAATGTGTTTGAAATAGCAGTTTTGTTTCATGCTCAATCTTAATTTAAAGTGATATACACTCTAAATCCTGAAAGCTTTATTCATACTCATCCGGTTTTATTTTACAAATTTGGAAAAACATGTGCACAGTCCGTAGATTTGAGACGACCTTCGTTCATCGTCGCTCGCTGCCATCGAGGCGGCCTACGTGCCGGTATACAAAACACTTAACTTATTCAGAATCAGAAAGATACTTATTATTAATGTAAACGTTGGTCGAGCGTTTCAGGACCTGCCATTGAATGGTCCATGACTCAAATGCATGAATCTATCAACAATAAACGCGTATTTAGGTACAAACACGAAATTTATTTCAGAGAATAAATTCTTAAAGCTCACCATAATATAAATTCGGAATTATTGTAGATCTTTGATTAATATTATTTACTGACACAATAGTAATCTAACTAAATAACTTTTCCCTTCACCTTATTATAAACGTCTATCGATAAAGTTTCCATTTTCATTATGTAGCAATTATTAAAAATGACGCAAATATAAATATAATTAATAATTACTTTGATTAAATTATGAATACCAGTTATTTTTTTCATTTTTGGTCGTTATATATGTTTTTAATTTCATTATATATTTTATCGTTCGAGTTTACCAGCATATTCATCAAGAGAAAAATCCTGTTATTCGCTTTTGCATTTCACTTCCAAATTTCACTTATATATGTCTGTCAGTCGTACTCATGGGGCACCTTGTAAAATCGCGGCTGGTCTAACTTCCGTTAAATAGTGTTGTTGTGGTATTTATAAATTGATCTTCGTGTTCGTGATATTTATGGATTGTCTCTGATGGCATTATATAAATTCGGATAACTGACGTGCCGGACAATGTTACGGTCGGGATCGCTGCCTGTCTCCGAACCTAATGACCAAGAAATATCTCCCAAACTAATGAACGCAGCTCGATGAAACTTGGTACACTTATTCATTAGGTCCTAACGGAGATGTTTAACTCGTGAAAATTTTTTTTTAATTTCACCTTCATTCGTGAGTTATTCGGCGAAACAGGCCAAAATTTGCAGTGACCAAAACATTTCTTCTTAACTAGTGAACAGATTTGGACGAAAATTTGAATATACCATCGTAACCACCCAACGGTTATTTTTAGCTCGTTAAGTCGAAGGGGAACACAGTAATTTGCACTCGAATTATCTGCAATAAAGTTGAATTATCCAAAGAAATGTTTATTCATTCGTTCAACAGTGGATTTAACGTATTGCCTTATTACTCGCGAACGAAGGAGAAATCGAAAAATTTTCCACAAGCTCAACATAACCCTACACCGTTAGGTCCTAATAAATACGTGTACAAAGTTTCATTAGCTCCGTTCGTTAGTTTGGGAGATATTTCTTGGTCACTGCAAATATGAAAACTGGCCGCAAAATCGGCCTCAGAAATGCCGGTCGTTTCTCCTTATAGCCGTATATTTCGCAAACGAAGGCAAAATCGAAAAACTTGCCACGTGCTAAACATCACAGTTGGGTGGTTAGGAATGTTTATTCGAAGTTAAGTTCAAATCTGTTTAGTAGTTTAGAACAAATGTCTTTGTCGCTGCAAATTTACGGACGTCGCTGTCGCGCTTACGTCTTCAGAATCCAAAGAAAAATTCAAAATTTTGAAATGAGAAGTCTTGAAGCGGCATTCCGTCTCTTCAATCTATACAATGAAGAAGCCACTGTAATGACTGGTGGGTAACTTTTAATCTGACTAAGTTGAACAAATTTCATACCAGCCTGGTTATGAAAATCATGTCCTTACCAGTCGGCTCAAGACTATCTACTCTGCCGAGATGAAATGTCTCTGCCTCAAAAAGTCCTTTTTGTTACAAATTAAATTAACATTAAATTAATTGAATTTGATTTTCATCTCGGAACTTGTGCGGTGGCAGCTAGAAACAGGTAAATTTTTACCTTCCCGCACTATTACTCGCCCGCAATACTGCACTCATAAATGGCCGATAGTCCTAATTCATCTTGCGTAAATAAGGCTGAATGAAATTATTGTTATAATTGCCGCAGCTTCTTAATTTAGATTGGGTTATTTTTCTAGCTAGCCGTATCCCTTCTGACGCCAAAATTAGTTACTAATGTACTATTTCTTAATCTGCCCGTGATACAAAGTTATTCATGCAAAAAATTTGTGTAATTCTGAAAGGCTAACAAAGGATTGCATTATTTCAGCCGAAGTCTGGGCGAATGTTTTACTCACATGTGTCAAATTCCCTTTCGGGACAAAACTGGCGTAGATATCCATGCATTTTTCCATTAATGTCATACAGATGACAGTCAGAACTATTATAACTTCATAATAATCACCCAACAAATAAAATTTAAACATGATTAATAGATATCCTGACTTAGCAAAACGTAAATCCGTACACTTCATCCCAGTGAAACTGTCGACCGGCGGTAGAGAACACGGACCAATATCTGCCATACTTAGCGAGAAACCCGCTATGGGCCCATGACCCGCAGTGGGCTCGCTGCCCCATGTTATCCTATAAACAACTTATGGATCCAAATATTTTCGTTAGAAAAGTTTTGATGTAACCGTTAATAGAAACATATCTTTGACATTTTCCAATTTTCTGCTGACACATTA